GCTCTTAGTTGGACCCCCTGTGGTATAGCTCGGTGTTCTGGTCCTATTACATCCTCGTTCCCAGGGCTTCTCGGCTGCCTGCGTTGCCGTAAGCCCTGGGGCAAGCAATCTCGTTCCCCGAGCATGCCCGTTCGCAGGTTAAGGGTGGGCATAGCTCTGGAGAAATCGAATTGATCACGTTGAATTTCCAACGTGAGTTCTACGCATGCTCAGCAATGTTGCAAAATATAAATAAAGTATTTAGAATTTCGCGTCGAAAATTTGATACATTTTACACTGAAATCGAATTGAAAACAACTAAAAATTCTGGGGGAAATATGTACGAAAGCTTCGGATTGATAGAGATACAACTACCTGAAAAATACAAGGAGAACTTCGACGTTTCGAGCGAAGGCGCTTCGATTTGTACTGTTAGTGTTTGTATACATCGTACTTGACCTTTGCTGATAAATATAATCTCCTCAAGAATAAGTATTATATATTTTTATGCTTTAAAATTTACATTTAACTCTCCTGTCAGAATTTATGGCATACGTAGTGTTAAGTACGACAGTATAAAAGGTCAAGTACGATGTATACAAACACTAACAGTACAAGTCGAAGCGCCTTCGCTCGAAACGTCGAAGTTCTCCTTGTATTTTTCAGGTAGTTGTATCCCTATCAATCCGAAGCTTTCGCACATATTCCCTCCAGAATTTCTAGTTGTTTTCAATCGATTTCAGTGTAAAAAAGTAGCAAATTTTCGACGAGAAATTCCAAATACTTTGTTTATATTTTGCAACAATTGCCAAGCATGCGTAGAACTCACGTTGGAAATCCAACGTACTATCTGCCGTTAGCCAATCACAGGCCTGAATCAATTCGATTTCTCCAGAGCTATGCCCACCCTTAACCTGCGAACGGGCATGCTCGGGGAACGAGATTGTGGGGCAAGCCGAAGCAGAAGTGATTTGATTGGTCGTTGGAAATAGAGTGAAGTATGAAAAGTTTATTCATCAAGTGGATGTTTATATCGGCAATATGGCTGCCTTCAAGGAGTGCGCGTTCGAAATACGAAGAAATACAAACGTATACTGCTTGTTTTCTATGGACTAGAAGTTACTATCGCAAGGAAAGTGCTGCCTCACCCCCCCGCCCCCCCAAAGGTAGCATGCACAATTGGCTGAATAAGGGGCTGTTTATATGATCCCGCTTTGCCATTACTCTCATGATGTTTTTATATCATTATATCAAACTAAAACCACCCCCAAATACATAAAGAATACATAAAGGAAACTAAGTAAGTTATACTTTATAATTTAAAAAATTAAAGTAAATTTGTAATGCAAAATATAATAAAATTAAAAAATAAATAAATACCCACACAGAGCCTGGCCACCTGTGGTTTTATATGAATGCCTTCAATGCATTATATACTTATAATGCTGTCATTGGTGAAGCTAGCTATAGCAACAAGTCATGCTATGCAAGTTTTTAATGATTTGTATCATTCAAATAGATGCAAGATTATCAGCATAGGCATAGCACAGAGGGCATAGCATGACGAGTTGCCATGACTAGCTTGCCACTGAATACTGTACAATATTATATATTTATATAGAGAATAATACATGGGTGTGCGGAAATTTCGAGAAATAAATCTGGTATTTCCAACTATTTATGTTTATTTTTCTGTTTATTATATAAAGCACAGTCTTT